GGTTCAATAGTCTAGACAGTGTCACACTCTGATCCGCCGATGAATGCAAAACACCTGCAAAGGGTTCCTGAGCCTTTAAATGGTTTCTCAGTCTAAGCTGCATTATTAAAACAAATGGACTTTTGCACCATATTAGTTTTTCCAGTTTCACCTTTAAGCTAAAGACGTCAAAAAGCAAATAAATCATGCCTTGTAAAAAAAATTCAAGAATAAACAAACCTATATTATTAGCAAGAACAACCCTGAGCTAAAATGGTATCCAGAAGATTTCCAAGGCCAAAACCTCTGCCAGAAAAAACAAAAGCCTGTCACACATTTGGCCAAAAAACGTCTTTGAAAAAAATCCTCTATGGACCAATGAGACGAGAGGAACAATATGAAACATGTGCATCTAGGTACATCTGATGTTGCTACAACATAGCAGTAAACCATGGTGTTGGTGGAGATGCAATGGTGAGGGGGACAGACTCCACATTGATGTGACTATGTGCAAACCTTTGATAGTGTGTGCAACCAGAAGTTTTACCTTTTATAGATAATTTATGTTTTTACATTTAGGACCAGACTGGCTTAGAAAGCTATTCTTCTAATAACTGAAATCTTTTGAAAACGGCACTTTCTGAGCTTATTTTTGATTCAGAAATTTCTTCTGAAACCTTTTTCAAAAAGCAAAATAAACTATCAAAAGAAATCAGTAACGGGGTAAAAACATTCTCACAGCCCTGCATACATGAATTCGTGTGGCAAAAATATTTGTATTTTTTGATTTCTTGTTTCAGTTTGAATGAACTCGTCAAATTCATTTGTGTGATTTTCACCCTTTAAATCCTAGCAACTCCGTTTTTTTCATTAGGTTTTGTTTAATTCAGCAGATCATATAATTTAACTATGAAAATGTCCTTTGTGTTCTGAACAAACCTGTTTATAAAATTCATCCATTCAGCCCTTCACCATGTTTACCTCCAGCTTTAGTGTCGTTGTAATGAGGCATGATCTGGGCCATCTGCATAACCCATTCCTCGATTTTAAACGTCATAAATCATTCTGTGACATTCTTCCACTGTGTGATTGATCGTTTAATTATAAAAAAAAATCCACAATTTTCCAATCACCTCATGTCAAACCTCTTTGCTACCATCTAGATTTATTACCAAATATAGGTGACGGGGTGTAAAAACTATGAACAGCAACGTGAATCAAAGGTTGACTGAACAACCAGCAGTAACCGTATCAAACCTTCTCATTCATCTTCAGCTCCAAGAGGATGAAGTTTGGTTGGTTCATCTTTCCTGTTTTTTTAAGCTTTTTTATGGTTACTGCCAGGAAGGCAACTCTCACAGCAGAAAAATAGGCAGCGGTTACGAATCTGCTCTCAGACAGGAAGTGTGGCTCTCCAGACTTTCAAATTTGCTTTTGAGTCAGACTCACTTATAGAATCACAACTCTTCTGAGCAATTGTTCATTCAGTTTTCACGATGTTTCAGAGATAAAACCTGTCGCGTTTCGGGGATGTTTAGGACCCAAATATGCAGATACCCAGGAGGACACGAGGCAGAGATGATAAATAAGAAAAAAATCCTTTATTTTAAGGAGAAAGGCTGGGAGCCAAAATCCAAAATCCAGATAACGATCTGGAAAACCCAAAAACCTAACTACAATTCAAAGGGATGGGGGAAAAAAATAATAAACGCCGATGGGAAAAAAACTAAAGGAAATGACTTGAGAAACCTAGAGGGCTGGAGATCTAGGGGCAAATGGGGAAAACCAGAAGACACATGAGGAAGACGCAGACATGACACATGAGGGCGCTAGGACACAAAAGGAGCACCTAGACAACGAATGGAGGACACAAGGAGACACATGAGGGGAGATGCAGACACAGACTATGACAAAACCAAACTGATAGAAATTAGTTCATCAGAGGGTCCGTTTGCATGAACACACACAAACTAGATGATGTAATACATATGTTTTCTTCAGCAGCTAATAACTTGCAGCTACACATAACGTAGCATTATGGTACATTTGTTTATGAGAACTGGAGAGTTCAGCTGAGGCTGTTGAAAATGACCTTTAAAGGATAACTGGTTAAAATGCTTTTATTTAAAATAACTTATTTAATCCAGCATTAGTTTTGTTTTTCATAAAATAAACTTTCAAGAAAACATCCCCCACATCATTACACTACCACCACCAGCCTGCACAGTGGTAACAAGGAATTATGGATCGTGTTCTCATTCTGTTTACGCCAAATTCTGACTCTACCATTTGAATGTCTCAACAGAAATCGAGACTCGTCAGACCAGGCAACATTTTTCCAGTCTTCAACTGTCCAATGTTGGTGAGCTGGTACAAATTGTACCCTCTTTTTCCTGTTTGTAGTGGAGATGAGTGGAACCCGGTGGGGTCTTCTGCTGTTGTGGCCCATCCGCCTCAAGGTTGAGCGTGTTGTGGCTTCACAAATGCTTTGCTGCATTCCTCGGTTGTAACGAGTGGTTACTTCAGTCAAAGTTGCTCTTCTATCAGCTTGAGTCAGTCGGCCCATTCTCCTCTGACCTCTAGCATCAACAAGGCATTTTCGCCCACAGGACTGCCGCACACTGGATGTTTTTCCCTTTTCACACCATTCTTTGTAAACCCTAGAAATGGTTGTGGGTGAAAATCCCAGTAACTGAGCAGATTGTAAAATACTCAGACCGGCCCGTCTGCCACCAACAACCATGCCACGCTCAAAATTGCTTAAATCATCTTTCTTTCCCATTCTGACATTTAGTTTGGAGTTCAGAAGTTTGTCTTGGTCAGGACCACACCCCTAAATGCATTGAAGCAACCGCCAAGTGATTGGTTGATTAGATAATTGCATTAAGGAGAAGTTGAACAGGTGTTCCTAACAATCCTTTAGATGAGTGTATATCTCTGGATGTGGCGTTCATCTTGCAGGACAGCGTTGTGCTGTCTTTAGGGCAAATATTTGAGTTACAAGTACCTCAGTTAAGTTTAACATTCGTGGCAGGAAGATGTGGAATGGAGGTGGTGAAATGGGCACTGTAGCCATCTTCAAAAGGAGATGTCTGCTGGTTGGGCAGGGGTGCTTCCAGGTCCCTTCCAATGGGGTGGGTGGGCGGGGGGGGGGGGGGGGGGGGGGCTCTATATTTTTAGTTTTTTTAGGTTCCCTATATTAGTATTAGCTAGTAATAAAGAATGAAAGGCTGTATGTTCCATTCAAAAAAGTTAGGTTTCTGTATATTGGTTTGGTACTTGGCACTCTCCTTTTTACATGTCACTTAGGTCTTGTTTCAGTCTTTTAGTGTTTAAATTATTGGTGTCACTATCTTAGTTAGCTGGATTTATTATATTGAACTCTGTTTTGGGCCCGAATGATCATTTAGAAATTTGTATATTTTATGTTTTACATTTTTGTGAATAAAAAGAAGCATTATATTTGAGAATTTCATATAAAAGGGTTAGGCAAAAAGGTAAACTGTCATTTACATATGTGTAAATTTTCCATGTAATTTTATTACATAAAGTGAATGAAAAATCCACTTTTAAGGTAACCTGTTCTTGTATTTAATCGACTTGTGTGCAAGATTTTAAATAAACAATGGGTTTTCATGTTGTCACATTTGCTAGGGCCAAGAATCTTTTCTTTTGGGGGGGGGGGGGGGGGGGGTTCTTCAGCCCAAATGGCACACTAGGGATTTGCTGCCCCCGTGGCAGTTCTATAAGGTTCTATACATACAGTTTGATTAAGTCGAGTTAACTAAATATTCTTATTTAGGTTTACATTAATTACATTTGATTTTTGTTTAACCATGTAGGCAAATAACAGCTGTGATTTAATACATTTTAGTTTCATTTTACATACTACTTTTAGCTCGTGTTTATTAGGCAGACAGATCCATTGGGGCGACGGTGGCACAGGAGTTAAGTGCTTGCCCCATAATCAGAAGGATGCAGGTTCGAGCCCCGCTCAGTCTGTCGCTGTCATTGTGTCCTTGGGCAAGACACTTAACCCACGTTGCCTGCTGTTGGTGGTCTGGGGGACTGGTGGCGCCAGTGCTCGGCAGCCCCAGGGCAGCTGTGGCTACATCGTAGCTCATCCCCACCTGTGAATGGGTGAATAACTGATTGTGTTGTAAAGCGCCTTGAGGGGTTCCAGAACTCTAGAAGGCGCTAGATAGATAGATAGATAGATAGATAGATAGATAGATAGATAGATAGATAGATAGATAGATAGATAGCTAGATAGATAGCTAGATAGATAGATAGATAGATAGATAGATAGATAGATAGATAGATAGATAGATAGATAGATAGATAGATAGATAGATGCTAGATAGATATAGATAGATAGCTAGATAGATAGATAGATAGATAGATAGATAGATAGATAGATAGATAGATAGATAGATAGATGCTAGATAGATAGATAGATAGATAGATAGATAGATAGATAGATAGATAGATAGATAGATAGATAGATAGATAGATAGATAGATGGGAGAGGTAGGTAGGTAGGTAAACGTGTTTGTCATCTCCATGGTTCTGCGTGAGCACCAGCATCTACCTGGGTGGCCACTGCACCTGCATGCCTCTGCAGGTTGAGCTATTAATTAAAACACCTTCCAAAGCGTGCACGTGCTGCCCGTTCCCTCGTGGCTTTGCAAGGAAGAAAAATTAAATGCAGCTGAGTGGATTTTTTTCTTCAGACCACTGGATTTTCAGATGCTTTAAGGTCAGCCCGCAGTTGTTAATGCTGGTTGGTGAGCTCTGCTGCCTGGACTTGTGAGCTAAGGTGAGAAGAGGAGAGGGAGGGAGCTCACGGCAGAGTGCGTCCTGACACACACACACACACACACACACACACACACACACACACACACACACACACACACACACACACACACACACACACACACACACACACACACACACACACACACACACACACACACACACCAGCAGCAGCAGCAGCGCACCCTCAGCGCTCTCGCTCCCTCAGTGGAAGAGTCGCTCCGCTTCTAGGCTCCGGACTGGTTTATTCTCTGCCTCCTCGTGGATATCAGTTGAGCAGCTTGACGGAAGCCAGAAGACTATTCCAGCTGGAGCACACTGAACGTGTCCCGAAAAAACTTCTTTATTTTCCGGTATTTGCCGGTTTTCACCTCCGTTTCCTGCCTGCTGCGTTTGGATTACAGAGAGCAGCGAACAGCCTGAGCGCGTAAACTCCAGAAACCATGGATCTATGGATAAAGTTAATGTTGTTGTACAGCTGCTGCGTTGAAGCAAGCGCAGACTTCAATGGGAGGTAAGGAGACTCGTTCATGAAATTATCTGATCCACTTGAATCCTTGCAGCTCAGGTTTGCTCCCGCGTCTGCTTGGAAACTAAACGCATGGTGCCAAATATTGTCCAGCTTTCCCCATGAGAACACCCACCCAGGAGCGCGTGTCTGCGCCTTGCGTGATGCGTTCTCGTGCTTGGCTGCAGCGTTCATGTTTGCAAAAACAAAATCAAGCAGAGTGCTTTGGTTTGTGCAGATTCGAGTCTGATTATGAAGGGATGTGAGAGAGGAGCAGCAACACCGGCGCTTCATGTTCAAACACGAATGCCGTGAAGTGAGTGGAGACGCCAGACACCCAAAAGAATGCACCTTTTAGGAGATTTTGATCTGGTGCATCTTAGATAAGTGAAGGGGTGAATTTTATGTCTTTAAAAAACATCCATTACTTTCATCAGACGTTTTTATTTTTTGCAGAATGTGCTTCTTAACCAGAAGACTTGGAACAATAAAGTTAAGTCCAGTTTTTCTAGTTTATTAAATGAGTTGCATCCAGTGACAAGATAAACAAACGGGTCCTGCCAAATTCCCTTCATCTCCTACAGAAAACGCTGCCAAAACTCTTTTTCTTCGTGTGTTTCTGTCATTCTGAATGAACTTCAAAGCAGATATATGATGTTCTTCACGTTTCAAATAATCAAAAACATATCTGAAAATTCCTAGAGGTAATTTACATAAATACATGCTTTCCACCTGTTAATCGATCTCATCATAAAAACTATTTTCCTTTCTTTCTCAGCTCCTTCAGCCAATTTTCTGCCTTGAACAAACATTTTTTAGAATATGTAATTAGAAGATCAAAGGGTTCAGCTTGGAGGGAAAAGCTGCTTCTATCTAGGAGAAATTAAAGAGAAGGAAAGCGAATACTACAGAGAAATTAGAGGAACACTCACCGCATATGTCCATCAAACGCTGTAGAGGAGTGATAGACTGGTGCTAATGTTTTAGCTGGTTTGTGTCTCATAAACAATTAGACACAATTTAATGACACCAAAAAAATCTATCTTTGGATGGAAATCTGCTGATTTACCTTTGGTATGAATCCAATTCAAGATGGCCGCTACTGTGAGTAGACCTCGGAAACACCAAAATATGTAATAAGTTGCAGAAATTGATCTAAAATCTGGCGTTAAGGCGATTGGACGAATTTTTCGACCGTTGACAATTGGCTAAACACTTTGCTGATCCTGTTTTATGAGCAATATTTTGTCATGCCAATAAATTAGTTTCTCAGATGGGACGTTGCAAACTTCCACGACAAATCAGCGTCTTTTTTGCAACACTTATTTTATTTGTGGGTATATATTACACATCATCTGAAAGCTATGGATTCTTGTGATTTAATGATATATGGCAACCAGGGACTCCACCATGACTGTACACATACTGTAGTAAACAAGTTGTCAAACCACTCCAAACAATGTCCAACTCACTGTTCACAGCCTCATATCACTGACAGGATAGAGCCATCTCTAATGAGAAGTGTCCTTTTATATGCGGAGTTCCCACAAAAGTACTTCAATAAAATAGTTGGTCCACAACAAGTCTTGTGTTCCCAATCCAACATAATTTCCCGTGGAATACATTCAAAAATCCCCTCTGACGCGTCTCTAACACCTTTTGTTTGCATCCAAATGTTAGCATCAAACTTGTGAGCAACATCTTTGTGAACCAACAGGTGAAAGGTTTCCCACCCACTGCTGGGGAGAAGTCATCAGTACCACACTCTATTATTACTCGTGTTGCACAAACCAACTGTGGTGCAATTTGTGGTTAATTGATGCATTAAATAAGAACGAAATCTCACGTGGAACCCTCACGCTTGCTTTCGCAAACTGAGTGATAATGGGTGTTTGTCAGTGCAGAGGTGTGACCAAGTCACTGCTTTGCAAGTCACAAGTAAGTCACAAGTCTTTCCAGTCAAGTCCAAGTCGAGTCCAAAGTCAATGATGTGGGAGTCCAAGTCAAATCCAAGTTCTTAACTTTGAATTTTCAAGTCATTTGTCCAACTTCAATTTAATGACAATGTTGATAAATAAATTGCAGAAATAAAGCTTCTTAAAGCTTTATTTTTTTGCTCGCACAAGCAGAAAGTGCAACTGAAATAAACAAAGCGCTGCTGCTTTTAGCAGTTCAAGATCAAACCCAGAACGAAGAATAAGTTAGGATTTTTGTCATGTCGTGCCACTTTTGTGCTAAAATATGCTCAAATCCTCATCAAGTCAACAGATGCAAGTCGATTCAAGTCGCAAGTCATTGGCGTTCAAGTCAGAGTCAAGTCATTAGTCTTTATAGATTTTATCAAGTCAAGTCAGAAGTCATTAAAATAATGACTCGAGTCAGACTTGAGTCCAAGTCATGTGACTCAAGTCCACTTCTGTCTTAATGTTAAAGGACCTGGACTTGATGCCTGGGTCCTGCCGCAGTTGCATGCGTCATCAGGAACCGTCAAGGCATGTTCTTTTGTTCATGTGCCACGGGGGCGTCTGCCCTCCGTCGCCCCGTGCTGCGTGTCAGTTATTTTAAGATGCTTGTGCAGCACTGTCGTACTGCCATGGAAGGTTCTACCTAGCAAATTTTGCACATACTCCTCTTGAATTTTTAGAAAATGCTCTTGACGTTTCGAGCTCAGCCGCTGGACCGTTGTTTGAGCTTTTCCAGGCTAGACTTTGGCTGCTGTCTGTCTAGATTTCTAAGCTGTAATCACGCTGGACTAAAACAGTTGTAATGGGATGTGAGAGCTTGTAACATCAAATGGGATCATTTGTGACATTGTTTTACATGTGTGACCAAAATGGCTGCTGCTCCATTACTTCCCAACACCAGATGGTTTTAGTTCGAAACTATAGCATTAAAGGTGTCGGGTGATTCCTAATTTGTACTGAGCTTTTTTCTCCCCCATCAAAATGCCCAGATAATCCCTGTGACTGAACCCATCAAATGTGTGGGACTCGCACTTTATTTCACACATTGCTTTTGTGTAATGATCACTTATTTGAGCGAAGCAGCTCCATATGGTACATTATTAACATCCCGTCTGATGGAGTGGCTTGTCACCATGGCCATAATTTTCCAATTTTTACAGGATTAAATTTGCACTGGCTTGGGTCTCCGCTTCAATATTCATTCATTGAGAAAATATCCCCTGAGACCGAGCACAAGCTAAAGAGAAAAAAAAATGTTTATCACCTTTAGTCCGGCTCACTTATTGCCTCTTAGAGAGCATTCCTAACAGGCTTATCCATCTGCCCCTGAAGGGTCCTTCACAACAGGCATCACTGGTGAGATAATTCTCTTCTCATATAATTTGCTTACCTGCAACAGGGTTTCTCTCCTCTGCTGGCAGTCATTGTTCCTGCAAAGGCTCCAAAACAGACACGTTCATGTCATAACAGAAAAAACCTGATGGTGACAGGCAGCGCTTACAGTGTGGAGTTTTGTTCATTTGTGACATCATAAAATAGTTAAGTCTAACAGAGCCGAGCAGCGCATACCAGACATCCTCCGTCACGATCTGAAGCTTGTGGAAAGGTGCCGCGTTAGGTTTGGATTGCAAAATCACACCCGCATTTGGGCTTTCAGGCGTGACGACGAGCATTAAAAACAGCCGCGAAAGGCAGCATGAACCGAATACATCTCTTAGTATTTGGGTCAACTTTTCAAATACCGGAATGTTTTTCCTAGCCATTATGAGAACGATGGGAACAGAAATAAGGGAGCAAATAAAAGGGATTGACTTTGTGTGTTGCATGCAAAAAGAAGCTGTCGGAGCATCAGAGAAGAACGGACATGACCTCGCGGTCTGACTTTTACTAAGGGAGATTCTGTCTGAAGATTTCTGACGTTCAAGCTGTTTATTGTGCAGAAGGTGTGCAGCGTTGTTCGTTACCATCAGCAGCTTGTGTTGCGTTGTTATTTCAGTCACAAGGCTGGGCAATCCCGAGCACAACGCCAGCCATCTTTATGAGTTTGTTCAGTTGCTGCCACCCCAACAGATGGCTGACAAGAAAATTCTACTGTCTGCCATCTCCTTATAAATATTTAACATATTGCTGCACACATTAAAGGACCTAGTTTTTTGTGTAGAATTTGTTCTCTTCCTTCTTCTAAACATCCTTGCTGAGGGATTTCCACTTCATTCTGTTGTCCAGGTGAACACCCAGGTTCTCCTCGCTAATTCACGTATTTCCAGGATTTTTCATCGTAAAGATCACATCTGTCCCTTTTGCCCCCGTGCCACAAAGCAGCTTCCATTTGCTCCGTTTCTATCCAACACAGATGCATTCAACAACTGCAGAGTCATCAGAAATCTTCGCAGGCTGGACAGAAGTCAGGGGTTTAGTGAATAAAATGAGAGCGTAGTCTTCAGCCACGCTTCCACTCTGCTCACCACCCACTCAGAATATCATTATATGGAGCTTTTTTTACTCAGATTATATAACTCCTCTCTTGGACATCACTGCTGGTCAGTAGATGTTTAATATTAAATGTTGCCTTAAACTGGAGGATGGATCACCAAAGTTATGACTACTTAAAAAGCACAAAGGCTGCTGAAGTCCGTAAGCTCTGCGGCTTAACCGAGCGTTTGATGTTGATGCCCGGGTAAACTCCACTACAGCGAAGGCCTCTGTATGCATTTATCTCTTTGTTTTCTTTGGCAGAGTTTTACTTTTGGTACCCTTGGTGTTTGTGAAGCCAGAAATGACCGTATTTGAGCGAACTGTGCAGAGGGAGATTCTTCAAACCTAAGGGGGGGGGGGGAAATGCATACCTCAAGTTTACTTAAGCATTGAATTAATTATAAAAAGAGCACTAGCACATTACCCAGAGGCAATGTAGCTGATGACACCATAATGAGCTGTTTAATGTGGTTGAAAAAAATGTACTATTTTCATTTCTATTGGAAAAACTAATTAATTTTTAGGAGTTTTTTCTAAAAGTTTCATTGTACAACAACGTTTCTCTGG